CCCGCGCCCCGCGCGCCCCGGCACCGGCCCGGCGCCGGCGTCCCCACGGAATAGCGCCCGGCGCCTCCGCTGCCCTCCTGCAGCCGCTGCCCTCGCGCCCGGAGCGGTATGCCATTCCTCTCTCCAYTCCCTCGCACTAGCAGCTCCCTCCAGGACACGCAGCCCCGCGGCACACGGGAGCCCTTGCTGGGGGTGCACGTGCGGCGGGGGACGGGGGACGGCTCCCCGCGGGACTGCTGCTGCCCACAACCTCCTGTTTCCTTTCATGACACCTAGGAGCAGCGGGAGAGGTTCCTCTTCTCTCTATATAAATTTCATCCATTTTTATACATTTTTTCTTTTTTTTTTCTTATTTTGATGTCTAAGAGCCGCGTATTGAATTAAAAACCTGCCAAATGTCACTCGTGCAGAATGGTAGCAAYGTTTTTTTCTAACCTATGCTTAAAGGCAGGAGTTCTTCCGGGCCTGCACRCGGGGTTATCGTGCCTCCTCCTGCTGCTCCGCTCAAGCTGCAGCCAGTGGGAAGCAGCTGCTTTGACACTCGGCCATCCGGGCTCAGAACCGAGAGAGGGAGAGGTAAAAATAACCCCCGAGCGTTCCAGGTGATCAACGTGACGGGCTGTTGCCCAACAAGACGCTCGCAGTTTGTGGTCGGACGTGGGCAGCTATTTTTGGTGCCTTCCCCTCCCTCTGCTCCCGTGAGCCTCGGCCTGTGTCTCCACATCTCCTGYTGGAAGATGAGCGCAGCTCGGTTAACGAAGGCCGCTGCTAATTGCTGCCTTATCTCTGCCCTCCTGCGAGGAGATAAGGTTTGTGCGAGGAGGCCCCAGTGCGGGCTGGTGGTGGGCGGCGTTACGAAACGCGCCGTTTCTGTCGCCAGCCCCGCGCGCTGCGCAGGAAACGAGCTGCCCCCGGCCAGTTCCTTGTAAAAACCTGCTCATTTAAGCCGAAATCGCCTCCTCGTCGAGCTCCTTCCGGCCTCGCCGCGCTCCCTGCAGGGGCCCTGGCTCCTCCGGCTTCAGCGGGAGCAGTGGGAGCCTGGGAGGTGTGTGCATGTGCAATAAAACACGATCCTTTTACCGTGTTTTATTGCCCATTACCCGTCGACTCTCAGTTGCTCCGTGCTGAGGGAGAAAGCGGGGCCCCTTTGCACCGTCACGAGCACGGCTCCCGCTCCGGCTCCTCTCCCGCAGCCGCTGGACAAAGACATCGATCCCCCCGCCGTCCCCCGCCCCCCTCAAAGTCAACATTGACTTTACCTGCAACTCCCGCCTCGCTTCCCGCTGCGCCTGTAGCAATATTTGATGTGCYTTCCGAGGGGCAAAATCAACATCTCCCCATCGCTCCGTCCCAAAATACCCCGTGTTTGCCCAGCCGGGCTTGCCGGGGGTCGTTGACCACCTGTTTGCTTTTGCCAGGAGCAGCCAGGAACCATCCGTAGGGACACGGGCGCTTCCCTGCGGAGCCCACGGTGAGGGCTCCGTGGATAAAACCGGCCGAGCTCAGCAGGTCCCCGTGGATCCGTCCCCGTCCCCCGTGGGGCYGCAGGTTACGCTGCAGGTCCCGCTAGTGAAGGACGGTGGGGCCTTTGCATCATTATTTTAAGGACAGGGTTGTTTGTTTTTGTTAAACAAGCTCAGCAAGTCGCTTTGAAATGCGGATTAAATATTAATGGTTCCCACTGCTCGAGGAGGGTTCTCTTYTTTTATCGGTGAGTGGTGGCAATGGGCAGAATCACTGCAGATATCTCCCCTGGTCCGACAGCGTGGCTGCACATAAACCTTTTGGGCAGCGAGGCGAGTCGTTGCCAGCGTTTGCTTTCACGTGAAATGCAAACAGGCCTTTGTTAGGCCGGGTTGGGGCTGTCGACACCAGGTACTGCATTTGTGCAACGAAACACGAGGTGTCTTTGGCACTCGCAGGGGTCCTGCTCTCAGCACGGCCTGAGCTCCCTTCTAGCTTGGGCTCTGCCCCTCTCTGGCTTCTTTTGCCCTTAATTCTTTAAATTTGGTTTGAAAATGGTCTAGGAAGGGAAAACGAACTTCTCCTTGAGCTGCAGGATGGAGAGGGAGATGGAGGGCGCGGGTGCTGGATGGTGACCCGGAGCAGCTGCTTCCTGCCCATGCGCAGAGGAGGAAGCGGCGTTTCCGTGGCTGTCCCTCTCCAGGGAAGCCCAATAATCCTGTGCCATCGGCTACCAGCGAAGAGCTGCCCCAAAGGCACGCAGAGGAGGACACAACTCGGGTAGAGGCCGTGGGCCTTGCAGCAACATCTGTGGGACACGAGTCCTGCCCTTGCAGAAGTACCTGTGAAGTACCCAACAGGACATCGGGCCACCATTGCCCTACTTGGCTGCTGTTCTTCTTTGCCCTAAGGTGTCCTCGAGATCCTCACTCCGGAGGATCCTGAGATCTTCCTTCCTGAGATCCTCACTC